GGGTGTCAGGTGCGGCCCGGCCCGGCCCCCCGGGACCGCCGCCGGAGATCTCCGAATCTGCAGGATCTGAGTGTTGCGGCTCCCCCCCCCCCCCCTGCCCGACGAGCTTTTCCTCCTGCAGTGCTTTTCGCTGCGTCGTTCCGGCCTCCCCGTGGGAATCGCTTGTCACGTCAGTAAGGAAGCCTATGCGTAGCTCTTCCTCCTCCTCCTCCTGCTCCTTTTCTGTTTCCTCGCCGGTAGCTGTGAGTTAAGTAAGCGAGCGCCCAGCATTCCCTAAACTACCCTTGAACTGTAAGTAGATCTGAGCATCACCTAAGCTCCGGGGATTTTCCTGCTAGGCAACAGTAATCCCAGATGATTGTGCTGGTCTGCACAAGTTCAGATTTGCGAGCGGTTTGGCTTTGGGCTTGGAAACCAGTCTCCCTTGGCTGTCCCACCGAGTCTACTACCCAGCTGTGACAGCTGGCAGCCAGTGGGAGAGAGAAACATTTTGTTCTTTTTGGTGTTTGTTTTTTAGTGATCTTTTATTATTTTTATTAATAATGTGCTTAAGCTGAACTGTGCAATTTAAACAATAGACTTACTACGAAAAATAAATTCAATTGGTTTTGTTATCGATGCTTTGTTTATTCTTTTTTGTGCTTGCTCTGGTTAATAAAAGCTGAAGCACTCTGTTCCTGTCAATATTATTTGGCTAGTTTACTAAATTACTAAAAGTGAACTAAATGAAATAATCCAGGCTATTATGCTAATATGACTAATAATAGCTATTGTTACTATCTTTTGGAGTTGTAGAAGCTGTCAGTTCATACCATCTATAGTTCAGAGTGGATCTGAAGATGTCTTAAATGTAATCCTTTGATTGGAGATGTGTGGGAGTTTTCAGGGGTTTGTTATGCGGTAAAATTTCCAGCTCTCTCCTGGACTCTGAAGTTTCATAACCGATAGGATTTTTGTGTACACTGTTGTCTCTATAAAGCAGTCTTTTGGTCTTCACTCAGTTTCTTGCTTGTGTGAGCTCTTGTTTTTGTTTTATATATGTTATTGTTTACAAGTGTGGTCTGTTACCTTATTATTTGTGTTCTCCAGGGTATCAAACTTTATTATTTAGCATCTGATGCATGACAATAATGTCATAGCTGCCTCAATATGTTTCATGTGTTACAGTAAATTGGGCAATAATAAGCTTAAAATATTGAGGGCTTAAAACTAAAAAAAAACCCCACTCTGTTTAACTTTTCCTTGGCTGGAATGAATCCTTGTTTACTTCAGAGTGCATTTTATATCAGAAAACATAAGGTCTTTGCTACTTATTTTTTAACTGGTGGAAGTTTAAAAGGCTACAGGAAATACACAGACAGCTTCTAATCTTCGAAGTACTTGAGGCTTGCAGTGGCCTGTCCCTTTTTGGGGTTGGTTTCCACATGTGTCTTCAATGAAAGTAATGTATTAGGCCACAGGCTTAGCAGTTACCTCTTTCAAGGTGTGAATTTGCTTGGTCAGTATAAAATAACTTTTAACAGCAATTGCAAGAATAGGATGGCTCATCTTTCTAGAAACCTAATAGATGTGTAAGGCCCCAGTCCTCTTAATATTAAATGTTTTGACAAATTTGTGATTGTACATTGAAATCAGACACTTGAAACCTCTTGGTTGCCCATATTCTGTTTTTGGCAGATATTGTGGAGTCTGAGGAAGGGACATTCTTGTTCTGCTTGTGAAGCATCTTGTGTTCCTGTAATTTGTGGCGCTGTGTATCCTAAATGAGGTGGTGAATGGAAAGCATGATTAAAAGCTTTTGCAGTTCATGTGATTAGTGCTAATCCGACGAACTGCAGGCATACCTCAGTGTTCCTGCTCTCAATGCAGTCCATTGTTTGTGGTGATGAAGCTAAACATGCAGAGCTGGGAGCATGTGTGTTACAGTGAGAACAGTAAAAGATGCCCACAGACTGCTGAACAGGGGCAAGATAACTGTTTTGAAGAAGTGGGGAAAAAAAGCCAACCCAAACAAACCCCTCCAGTTTGGATAAACTCTCTTGTTGTTACAAAATGTCTTAAAATGGAGCTTTGATACTTTTTCTGAGAGGGGAAGAAAACTTCATACATGAAAATGCTGTGAAAAGCATTGAGCAGTACAGGTTCTGAGAGAAGTTTAAAACAGAGAAACTATGGAACTTTTGTTTCTTCTTTCCTGCCATGTCTAGAACTATTAAGAATCTTGCTTTGTTTTCACACCACTGCTTTTATTTTCCACTTTCTACCACTGTATCTGAAATATAATACTGGGAGCATTCAGCTAAGCAATGCTTTCTCTTTGTCTTGATGTCATCGCTGAAGTGACTGCCCTTTCATTCTGAGAGGTGGTTGTTTTGGAGTAGTGCTGAGACAGTGCACTTTGCTGGACTCTGTAGCTATCTATTTCCTGAACAGGGGAACTAATTGTTAGGTTTTTCTGTCTTGCATGTTTCATATAGATTAATTTTTGTAATTTAATGTATTTGGCCACTGCATCAAAGTAGCAACTTCTATACTTTTGTTACAGATCAACCATGTCGTCCTTCCAAGAAGTTCCATCTTCAGCTAGCGCTTTGCAGACTTCCAATTTTGCACATGTGATTTTTCAAAATGTGGCAAAAAGTTATCTTCCAAACACCCATCTTGAATGTCACTACACTCTGACCCAGTTTATCCATCCTCATCAGAAGGACTGGGTTGGCATTTTCAAGGTAATTTAAGCTTGTTCTATTGGTTTTTTTCAAATGTTTGCTCTCTGTTACCAGTTAAGAAGAATAAATCCCAGCAACACTAAAAGCTCTCTTGTGAACTATAATTGAACGTCACTTAAGTGGTGTGTTGGCTCCTGCTATTAGGGTGTGAGTTTTGTAACAAAGACCAAACTGGAGATCAAAACTGGAGGAATGAATACGCTCTAAGTCTGCTGGAATAAGTGGAAGGTGTGATGTGGTGTTGTTGTGCAGAATTAAATGGAAATGATTTGAGAAGAGATGTGAGGGCACAGAGTGACATAGTGAACAGGACTATATAAAGGGTATGAGACAGAATAAGTGTGAAATGTGTGTGGAAAGAACAGAACTAAGCTCGGGATGTCCTGGCCCACATCCCAGACTAATTTTTGTTGCTAGGACAGACTGAACAGTATAGATAACTAAAATTACTCAAAACAGATCCTTGAAAACAGGAGAGGGGGTGAAGCCACTCCTTCAAAGGTATTTAAAGGTAAGTAAGTGATTAATTCTTACATCTAGTTCCATTTGAGTCCTTGATTTGTGTTTCTTTGTCAGTATAACTCCTAGTAGATGATTCTTAAATTCCTTACTTGAATGGTCAATAGAAGTTTTGATTCAGGCTTTAGGGAAGTGATGCTTTGGGGGTGGGGAGGGGAGAAAGGTAACATGACTTGGTACTGGAGGATCTTTCCTGTAGAACTGTGTCTGCTGTTTAAGAACATAAATGCTTGACTTTGTTGTAATCTGCAGATTACCAATGGATTGTTAGTCTTTATTCAACATAAATTACTCTTCTGCAGCATAGAAGTACTGTGCTTTATCAGAAAGCAGAAGCATTTTTAGTGCTAATGACTGATTTAATGACTGTACATTTCTCTATTAGGAAGTTCTCAAAAATACATGTGTATTTGCACCGTTTTGACAAATGGTGTAACTGATCACATTGAATGTTAATGGCATTAATGAAACTTCAAAAAAATCTTTTAAAAACTTTATAGAAGGTGCTCTTTATATTGCACATAAGCATCTTGAAATTATGTGACTGTAGTGGCTTTCTGTTGGTCTGAGTGAGGGGAGGCAGACAGGACCCTAAAATTATTAATTACGAAAAGAAAGTATGAAACAGCTTCTCAGTGGCTACACAAGATGTTATGGACAATGTGTAGGTATCTGATTTCATCTTGACTGTGATGATAGATTTCATAAAAGGTTGAGGTACAGGTTTTTCTTCTACTTTAACAGCGACAGATAATGCAACTTTGGCAGTCATTAGAGGAACATGTTGAGCTGGCGTAAAGCTGAAAGAAACATCCTCTTTTATGCAGGATGGCTAATTTCTTTGCTTCCTCTCCTTTATTTGAAACAAGATCTTGTGTGATGAATCAAATCAGGGAATTGATTGAGGTTAAGACTGGATTTTTTAAATGGAATTCCCCAGCTGAATTTCCAGCGTTCCTTATTCTCATCAGCACAAGGGAAGAAAGCATTGCTAGATGGGAAAAGGATAAAAATGGATTTCTTTTTGTCTCAGCTAAGTGTTATGAATATACTGACCTAGTGTAGTTATGGTGCAGTGAGTTAAATGGAGCCAGCTGGCCAACTGTAACTGTGTCTACGAGTATGTAAGTGTAATGTTTATAGTAAAATGAACTGTGAAAATGTAGTCGTCTTGGGATAGATAAGAGACAGAAGTTGTACTATACTGTGATCTGAGTGTAAGAATAAGTGACTTCTAGAGAACTGGTTGTACCTGTACAATTAACAAACCACTTTGAGGTGGTTTGAAAACTGATGAAAACAGGCAGGAGTTTTATCATTTACCTCTCTAAAACACATCTGAAGGAAGTAATACTTGTTTAATAAAGTGATTCTGTGGTTGAAAAAAAAAAGGCAAAACCAAATCCTGGCTAATTACAAGAACAATAGTTAATGACCTTCAGTATTGGCCTTGTGTGCAAGGAAAGTGAGGCCTCTGTGAGAGAACTCAAAGCTCGAGTCATTAAATCAGTCATTAGCACTAAACTCGACATTCACTGCCTGTTCATGCAGAGGGAATAAAGTTCACCTTGTTTCGCTGAAGTGCATACATTGCTTAGGAAACAAACCTGTTTAAGCTGGTGTTGTTTAACTTTTGCCTGAAATTGCACAGAAAGTAACTAGTGTTGTAGTAGTGAATACAGGACAGAGGGAAAAGGCACTTAGTTAAAAAAAACTCAGCCAAAAAAGTCAACAAGCTGTGGTAATTTCAGATTGCCGTAGAAAATAAATATGGAATAAGATTCTCCCTGCTCTCTGTGAACATTGGGTTGGTTTTGGTTTTAATGCTGATTTTTGTTGAATTTTGGGGGATGGTGGCTTCAGCTGTGTTCTGTCCTATGTTTGCTCAGCAGGTTAGATAAGAATTTTTTTATTGAAGTGAACAAAATCCATAGGTACCATTTTTAAGTGAATGGTCTTCATTCAGGTTGCAAGTGCAAGTACATTTTTTCAGCATCAGTGGTGTCTTGAGTAGATACTAGTTATTTGTATCCTTATATTATTGTCTTTGTTTTGCTAGTCCAGCTGTTAGTGCAGCTGCACAGTGAAATAGATCAGCAGAGTGATGTGCCAGGAAAATACAGCCCCTTCCTCCACCAGCTTTAACCGTCTTATTTCACAACTGGTTTGATTCTGCGTGATGCAATGGGCAACTGTGCTGTCATCACTGTGATGGGAAGAAGGGGACTGGGAAGGTGTGTGGGAGAAGGGGATTGGAAAGTTGTGTGGAAGAAGGGCTATGCCTACTTTATTGGCATGGCTGCTTAATGTGGAATGACAGGTGAAGCTTCTTTTTCAAACTTTTAGAATTCTGTTCTGAAGAGCAGCTTACTTGAAGCTGTAAAACTTCACAGATTCTACCAACTTCTCTGCATATGCTGTAGTTCTAATGTGTTTTTTGTCGTTCTGGGCATGATTTAGGTTGCAAAATGTTGAACTTGAGTAATGCTGAGTGTAAGACAGGCCGTGGTGATCATGGTAGGCTTAAAACTGTGCCCAAGAAAGTAATTTTCTATTGTTTAGAAAAATGGAAACAGTGTTCATAAACTGGAAGAGTAATGTTGAATATGGGAGAATTATTTCAGATATACCAGTTTCCTTACAAACTAGGTGTGTCTAAAGGCATATGCTGATTTTGGGTTAGGACATTTGGCAAAAACTTGGAGATATGAGTAGTACAATAATGGAGATGTTACCCTTCACAACAGAAGTTCTGAATATGCAGTTTTGTTTTTTTTTTGGTGTATATATTCATCCATCTTTTTCTTACTTGTCCCCTAGGGAAGGCTTAAAACGAAGTTTTAACTCAGTCTTCAAATCTGTTGTCTTTCATTGCTGCTGTATGTTTTTTGCTTTTATGACATTCTGAAGAGTAATCTGTAATCAAGTGCCAAATGGTCTTGGTGAGTTATGTCCTTGCTTGTTACGAAGGAAGAACAAGGTGTTTTTTTAGATAAGTAGTGGACTAGTACTTGACATAGACATCCTGAGCCTGGGTCCCTGCTCATGCAGTTTTATAAGAAATAGCATTTGAGATCAGTTTTCCCTCTATGGTGGGTTTCTGTGCAGAAGAACCTGATGGTTCGTGGTGTGGAGTCAAAGGTGAGAAGACTTAGTATTCTCAATTAGATTTTTTAGATCTGTACTCCCAGAGTGATCTAAGACCAGTGTCCCCTTTTCATTTGTCCCTGTTCATGTCTGATTAATCAAAATCTGGAGAGTCCTTTAGAGCAATCCAAATGTAAACCTTTGAAATGAGGAAAAATAACTGCACTACATCTGGTTGCAAAAATGACCTCTCTGAAGGGAGTCCTAATTTCCGGCTAAGAAACTCTGCATCTTGTAACTATATTTGTAATAAAGTGAAATAATCGTATGGCTGAGTGATATTTTTTTGCATTATTAATGTGTAGCGTCCAGATTTGCAGAAGTGTTTGGAAAACCTGCTAGCTTTTTAGGAAACAGTGCTTACCCCTCTGGGTAGAGTGTGTCTGCAAATAGGGTTGTCAGATGTTCAGTATGAAAGAGAAGCAGGTTTGCTATATATCCCAAATGCACAAGGGAAGAATGTTATGGGCATAATAAAGATATTGCATCAAGGGAGTAGCATTAAAGGTGTAAGGTGTAGGTGTTTGTGGGACTTTGTGCGTTTCTGAAGATGTAATTTTGCTGAGGCAAACATGCTGGAATGACCTGTGATATCAGCAGGTAATCAATCTTATATATGTTAAGCTAATGGCTTTGGTCTTGCTGTGTCATTAACTGTTCCTTCAAAACGTTTTTGTTCCTCAGTTCTATTTGATGTATTTTTCTAAGTAATCTACATTACCATTTGTCTAGGAGGTTGACAACTTGAGGACATGTTTTGGTATTAACTGTCTCAGTGTACCCCTAGAGAAGAAAAGGAAATCACCTTAATGGTGACCTCATGTTCTGGTAACTTAACATGTGGAAAAAAATTAATAGCCAGAATTTGGAAGGTCTTAGAGGACTCAGTATTTAGGTGGTCACACCTGAGCTGCTGTTTATGCATCCAATGCAGTACCTGTATTTACATGCAGGTTATTTTCCATCTTTTCAATGTCCTAATTTACAGCAGACCTCAAAATTAAATGGTCTGGTCAAAAACTTTTGTAACACAACTGAACATTGTATTTGTTGGACACTTAAGAAATAGCTCCGTCTTTGTGTTTTATCAAGGAAGTATAGATATGTTTTTGTGTACTGCTCTGGGTTATTTAGTCACCCTTGAACTGCAAATAACAGTGCAGCTTTGTGAGTCATTTCAATATCCTGATTTTGTTCTAGATTGATAAAAAACCCAACAATTACTTCCATATATACAGATTAAGTTATGAAGTTTAATGCAACATCTGGATGTGTTATTGACCATGTGCATATAGAAATACAATTTTTATGGCATGGAATCATTGCTGCACAGC